TTTGTTTGTTCTTGCAAAGAATGACATAGAAAGACTAACATTTGCTTAACTAAAGGTAAATGCCATACACAGTAACCACAATGTATAATAAAAAACCTGTTAAATGTCAACGTAAAGGAGGCTGAAAGGAGGATTCTTAGTTAAACACAACAACAACTGTATCTGGCATCAAAAGAAAAAATATATACAGAACAGATGTGACTTTGACCTATAAGTTTTTATTCCCTTCTTAAAAAAAAAGTGTTAGAAATGAAAAACCCTGATTCATTAAAAAGTAGGCTACTTAAACCTCTTCTCTGTTCTCTCTTGTTCTGCCCATCACAATCTGTTTCTTCTTCATTCTACAGGAGGTTGGCACCACCTACTGGCCAACCAGCATTAATAAGCCTACCGTGTAGCCTATAGACTGAGTTTCTAACATCCCGAATACACAAATCAAGGCACATATTCCTTAAATTACTTGCATAAAAATGTGTTTGTCAATCAACATGTTTATGTTAAAATTCTGCTTTGCTTCAGTATTTCAGGCTTTTGGTAAAACTGTATCTTAATAGCCTACATAAAATTGATTTAAATGTTTCACTGCCAAAATACAGAAGTCCTTAGTGGACACACATCCATATTTGTTATTTAACTACATTTCTGTTGTTTTCTCAAGATCTCTAATGCAATCTTAAGTGTGCAAATTTAATCTGCCCATTCAACTTTGAATTTCTGAAGTAAAGGAAGATAGGATACTTCAAATCCTCCACTTGTCTGAAGTTGAGGTACAGCCTATGGGTACAGCTGGCAAAAGGAAAGAATAGACCATTTCGGTGTCAGTAGTCACGCCTGAAGGAGTCGTCGCTCGACATGAAAATCAAGATCAGTTTGACAGTCAGTGTGTTTAGTGTTAGTGTGTTTTTGTGACGCGTGTGTATGAGTATTCAATATTTCTACATGTGTTCAAAGAGTCTGTTCTGGTTGTCGCTGAGCGCGCACAGAACGAGCGAGAAATATGTAGAAACTTCTGGCACAAGCTTCCGAGTGACGTCATCACGCCGAGCTTCTTTTTTATTGGACGACGACGTCAGGGAAAGCTCGAGAAATGACCAGAAGGGAGCGAGCAGCGTATAAAATAACGAAGACGGCTGGTAGTAACCATGACTACGAAGAACCTGGACGAGGGAATCGCGACAGCACAAGATAGAACAACTCTTTTCCCTCTGCTGTCTTCTTTTAGCAAGGGTAAGTACGCTTTGTATATATTTATTTTTTTATTTTTTTACTAAAGTTTAATGCGATATCAAATTGTCTATTGGTTTGATGATATAAAGTCGTCGTTTATTGCTATTCCGGTTCTATCAACTTTTAAAGACCAACTGTCAGTTTCACTGTCAAACAGACTGTTTTAATATTAATGGAGTTTAACTTTACGAAACGTGTTTTTAGACTTAAAAATAAAAAAATAAAAAAGTTTTGCAGTTCCATTAAACGGGCATATTTAAAGTATTACAAATGAAATTCCCTTTTGAAATAATTCCTTCATTTGGTAGGAAGACAAATGCACCTTTTTAAGAATATTACCTTACTTTTTAATCTTATTAATTCAATTAAAAAAGCTAAATGAATTATTTACTTGTTAATTGGAAGATTTCTTTTCACGACCATGTATATTACCTACCATTGAAGGCTTGTCACTTGATATTAATGTGGCTGTAAATTGCGTGGATGGTAGTTTCTGTATATTATTGCCAAGTGTATGATTGGGAAGCTGTAAGAAAATATGTGCGATTGATATAAACTTTATTTACGATGTTTTTGTCTGTGTTTTTGTTTCTGCATTTATAGGAAATAGAAAACAATCAAGATGTCACCAGCTAAGGGTGTAGCAATCGGCATTGACCTGGGCACCACCTACTCTTGTGTGGGGATTTTCCAGCATGGAAAAGTAGAAATTATCGCCAACGACCAGGGTAACAGGACCACCCCCAGTTATGTGGCATTCACTGACACAGAGAGGCTCATTGGGGATGCAGCCAAGAACCAGGTGGCTCTGAACCCCAGCAACACTGTGTTTGATGCAAAGAGACTGATTGGAAGAAAGATGGATGATCCAGTGGTGCAGGCTGACATGAAGCACTGGCCCTTCAATGTGGTCGGAGATGGAGGGAGGCCCAAAATTCAAGTGGAGTACAAAGGTGAGAACAAATCCTTCTACCCTGAGGAGGTTTCCTCCATGGTCCTGGTGAAGATGAAGGAGATTGCTGAGGCCTATCTCGGTCAAAAGGTGTCCAACGCAGTCATCACAGTCCCGGCGTACTTCAACGACTCTCAGCGGCAGGCGACTAAAGATGCAGGCGTCATCGCAGGACTGAATGTCCTGAGGATCATCAACGAGCCCACAGCAGCTGCCATCGCGTACGGTTTGGACAAAGGCAAATCAGGAGAACATAACGTCCTAATCTTTGACCTAGGTGGAGGAACCTTTGATGTGTCCATCCTGACTATTGAAGATGGTATCTTTGAGGTAAAATCCACAGCTGGAGACACTCACCTGGGTGGAGAGGACTTTGACAACCGCATGGTTAACCACTTTGTGGAGGAGTTCAAGAGGAAACACAAGAAGGATATTAGCCAGAACAAGAGAGCCTTGAGGAGGCTGCGCACAGCTTGTGAGAGGGCCAAGAGAACCCTGTCGTCCAGCTCCCAGGCCAGCATCGAGATTGATTCTCTGTTCGAGGGCATTGACTTTTACACCTCCATCACCAGAGCTCGCTTTGAGGAGCTGTGCACCGACCTGTTCAGGGGAACATTGGAGCCGGTGGAGAAAGCCCTGAGGGACGCCAAAATGGACAAGGCACAGATCCAGGACATCGTCCTGGTGGGAGGCTCCACCCGAATTCCCAAAATCCAGAAACTGCTGCAGGATTTCTTTAATGGCAGGGAACTGAACAAGAGCATCAACCCAGATGAGGCGGTGGCTTATGGTGCAGCTGTCCAGGCCGCCATCCTCACTGGTGACAACTCTGGGAATGTCCAGGACCTTCTGCTGCTGGACGTGGCGCCTCTGTCCCTGGGTATAGAGACAGCTGGAGGAGTCATGACATCCCTGATAAAACGCAACACCACAATCCCCACTAAACAAACCCAGGTGTTCAGCACCTACTCCGACAACCAGCCTGGTGTTCTCATCCAGGTCTATGAAGGGGAAAGAGCCATGACCAAGGACAACAACCTGCTGGGCAGGTTTGAGCTGACAGGAATCCCTCCTGCTCCAAGAGGAGTCCCACAGATCGAGGTCACCTTCGACGTGGACGCCAATGGTATTTTGAATGTGTCCGCAGTGGACAAAAGCACCGGCAAAGAGAACAGGATCACCATCAACAACGATAAGGGCCGTCTTAGCAAAGAGGAGATCGAAAGGATGGTGCAGGATGCCGACAAATACAAAGCTGAGGACGAACTTCAGAGGGAGAAAATTGTTGCCAAGAACTCACTGGAGTCCTACGCCTTCAACGTGAAGAGCAGTGTGCAGGACGAGAACCTAAAGGGGAAGATTAGTGAAGAGGAGCAGAAGAAGCTGATTGAGAAGTGCGATGAGACCATCACATGGCTTGAGAACAACCAGCTGGCTGATAAGGAGGAGTACCAACACCAGCAGAAAGAGCTGGAGAAAGTGTGTAACCCTATCATCAGCAGGTTGTATCAGGGAGGAATGCCTGCAAGCAGCTGTAGGGAGGAGGCTGGATCCGCAGCCCAGGGGCCCACCATTGAGGAGGTGGACTGAAGTGTCCTTTGATATGGACTCTTTGATCTCACTAACTGTTTCAAAATATACAACTGTAACTTAATGGCTATGTTCCAAACTTGGCCCTTTTTAAATGTGATGAATAGGATGCAGTGTTCCTAAATGTTTACAATCTTCCATGTTAATGTAATCTCCTTTTTTGTTATAAATATTTTTTTTAAATCCAACTTTAACTCTATCTTCTGTAGAGATATATTTTATCGTTATTGTAAAAAAAAATTGATGCATAAATTGTAAGAATCCTTAAATGTTAATGTATCTTTTGTCTCTGCCCTGTTAGATTTTAAATAAAAAAATCTAAAATAAGATTTTTCATTCTGGTGATTTGATTATTGTTGCAATTAATCAAGTTATAAATACTAATGTATCCAAAATGTAAAGAATACAGTAATGTTTGTATTTAATGATGGTTCTATATACTACATAAAGCTTTAATTCAAAGCTGCAAAATGTTCAATGTTCAAATGTTCACGTAAAGACATTCAAACTTGTATATTTTTATGTTAAATATGCAGTCTGTATCTTAAGAAGTGTATGAACAATATATCTCTTCTAATCAACCATAAAAAGCCAAAAATATTGTCCAGGGAAATTTGCAAAGAAAAGGAAAGTTAGGGGAAAGAAGTTTTGAAGAAATATGTGGAAGTAGGGATGATAGGAGATATGTACAACCCCACAAGTAGAAAGAAGTAAAGAAGAACCAAAGAGGTATGACAAAGGAAAAGACTGAAAGAAAGATTGAAGGGGAAAGGAAAGGAGGAAAAATCCCTTATGGAATGGGAAAATGAGAAAAAAAACATTTGTATTAAAATACAGGGATAAACTATATTACAGCAGTAAAAAGGCAATAAGATCAATGAGATCTTTTCTGCAAACGCATTTATGTTCATGTGTTTAACTTTACTTATTTTCCTTCCTCTGTCTTTGTTACATTTTTCCCCTTTCCAACTTTTTACTTTCTTCAGCTTATTTCACAATCTCTTTCCTTCTTTTATCTAATTCATGTCATTCCTCATGTCTTCTCATCCTCATCTCTTAGTAAGTTTAATGATTAAGGCAAGAACCAAAAGAAAAATATTCGTGGTGTTCTTTGTCTGAGACCAAATATGAGGTTATTATTTATTTTTTACAATTTTTTTGTTGAGAAAAAGTTAAAAAAATACAACAAGATGTATAATCAAATAAGGTACTTTAAGGTTTATTTACAGATTTAAAAAGTTCAAATAAAAAAATAAAACTAATGAATGTTGTCTCCTGGATCCGTTCTGAGTATAATGATAACTGGCTGTGTATTTTCACTTCTTAATAAGTTTTCAGTATCAGCTGTTTCAAGTATTTTAAATCTTCCATCTTCCAACTTCCTGAATTAATCCCAGAGAGGAAATCTACTGGTTTCAACAACATTACTCTGTCTTCATAGTCGAGTTCTTCTCGTGGTAAAATTTCAAATGGATAATGAATCAATACATTCCTGAATTGCAGATTTCATTTGTGTCTTCATCTGGTTAAAGTTGTCCATGACTAATTCTGAATGCTCTCTGTTTCAGTCCGACTTCCTCTGACTTTTCTTCACTTTTTTGTTCCTCTGACCATCACTGCTTTAGGTGTTGACATCAAACTTTTTACAGGTTTTGTCCATATTTAACAGAACCTCCCTGTTCATGACCTTAAGTTGAAGTTTAAAGTCAGTTTTTTGGTATTTGTGACCTTTCCCTGTCCTCCAGCTTCAGTGTCTGCGTGTCTGTCCCTCCTCCTGATGACAAGTGCAGCCGTTGTTCTGTTTCAGGCAGCTCTCATCTTTTAAGGTCGTCTGCGGTGACTTTGAACGTCCCGTGATGAAGAGGCGGAGGGCTCCTCTGCAGATCAGTGCAAACCAGTAGAGCTGCAGGGGCCAGAGCAGAGCAGCCCCCAGGTTACACTGCCAGGGGGTCACCAGTGGAACCGAGTACAGTGGGATGGATGCATACCTGAAACACAGAGGAGATGCTGCTGTTTAATCATCAATCCAATCTATTCATACAGTTCCAAACAAACTCAGAGTACTTTATAAATGATTGACAAAACAATGTCAAAATTAATAGACAGACTAATTCTCAGCAAGAAAAGATAACACGAGCAATGAAAAATAACACAAAAAGATCAAGGGAATAAGTTCAATAAAACATAAAAGTAAAATACCTACAATTTAAATTAAACCAAGCTCCAACAAAATGAAATAACTTGATGATAGTAAATACAGAGCTTAAAATTCCACAATTCTGCTTTGTGTTTAACGCTAATAAGGTAATGTTAGCATGCAAACAGGCTTAACTTGATATGATTTATCCAAGTGGCAACATCAGTTGTTGAAAAATGAAGCCAATGCGGAAGTGCAAAATCCTGCAGTTCCTTGAGTGTCCGCTTGAGGGTGGCTACAGAAGCACCACAAGTCACACACACACTCCATTCAAAGGAGCCAGCACTGCAATACCCTTGTTCCTGTGCTTTTCAAAGGTGCATACTTTGTAACAAATAAAACTCCTTCTTTTAATATTTTATTTAAAAGCAGAAAGTTGTTTCACCAAAACATACTGATATATCAGCCCGATCAAAAGTAAACGCTATGCAGTAAAAGCAACAACATTTCCAGTCCAGTTACCTGCTGTATGCGTAGTACAGGTATGGGAAGAGTAACACCCTACAGCCGAAGAAGGTGAGTAGCATGAGGCCTCCGTTCACTTTGTGCAGTAGAGTGTGCTGCTTCCTGTACTGAAGAGAAAAAGAGGAAGAAGTTGAACTGAACAAGGATGGTTAAGGATGGTTGTTTTATTGTTCTAGCGTCTGAAAATTGATCAGAATTTGACAACATGCCCAAGGAGCTCTGCTTTTTCTTAATGAAATCATCTTTTATCATATAATAAACAAAGATAGTTTTCTTATGAAGGTGGGATTTAACTGAATCAATTCTACAATTCTACAATTCACTTAGCAGACGCTTTTATCCAAAGCGACGTACATCAGAGAGTAAGCACAACACAAGCAAGGATCTAGAAAAAAGGGGAACAATGTCAGTAAGAGCAAACGATCAGCTTTGAGTCCGATTGGACCCACAGGAGGCATTGCACAGAGGCAAAGCAAATTTGATGCGAGCAGTAACTGGGAGCCAGTGTAAGGAAATGAACAGCAGAGTGACATGCACTCTTTTAGGAAGGTTGAACACCAGTCGTGCTGCTGCATTCTGTATCATTTGCAGGGTTTTGATAGTGCATGTAGGAAGACCTGCCAGTAGAGAGTTTCAATAGTCGATGCATGATATCACAAGAGCCTGTACCAGTAGCCGTGTAGCATGTTCTGACAGGTAAGGTCTGATCTTCCTGATGTTATACAGGGCAAATCGACATGACCGGGCAATCGAGGCTACTTGAACCTTAAAAGTTAGCTGGTCATCAATCATGACACCCAGGTTCCAGGCAGACTTTGTGGGCATGAGTTTGGTTGTTCCAAGCTGGATATTGATCTGTGGTTGCATAGAGGGCTGGGATGACAAGGAGCTCAGTCTTTGAAAGATTGAGTTGAAGGTGGCGCTCATTCATCCATTTAGAGATATCAGCAAGGCATGACAAGATTCTTGCAGAGACTGTAACATCGTCTGGCGGGACTGACAGGAAGAGCTGGGTATCGTCAGCATAGCAGTGGTATGAGAAGCCATGAGAGCGGATTCTTGAACCAAGTGAGCTTGTATATGGAGAAGAGAAGGGGACCAAGCACTGACCCTTGAGGTACCCCTGTGGATAAGCTGTGCGCTTTGGACACTTTTCCCTTCCACAACACTCTAAAGGATCGCCCAGAGAGGTAGGACACGAACCAGCAGAGGGCAGATCCTGAGATGCCAAGTTCAGAGAGAGTGGATAGGAGGATTTGATGGTTGACTGTGTCAAAGGCAGCAGACAGGTCTAGCAGTAAAATAACTGAGGACTGACCCACAGCTCTGGCAGCTATTCTGCCGTTAGCTATTCTAACGATTCTGTTACTGACAGTAGTGCAGTTTGAGTAGAGTGGCCCCGCTTACAGCCTGACTGATTTGGGTCAAACAGATCGTTTCTGGACAGGAACTCAGAGACTTGCTTAAAGACTGTGCGCTCAAGTATTTTTGACAGAAAGGGCAGAAGAGAAACCGGTCTGTAGTTTTCAACCTGGGCTGGGTTTAGTGTGGGTTTTTTGAGCAGAGCGGTGACCCGAGCTTGCTTGAATGCGGTGGGGAACACACCCGTTGACAGAGAGGAGTTCATGATATGCTTAAGTGCAGCATTAAGCGGAGAGGAAATGGTCTTCAGGAGGCTTGATGGTATTGGCTGCAGAGGACAGGTGGTGGGCCGAGAGTCTATCACAAGCTTAGAGATTTCATCCTCAGTCAGAGAGGAGAATGAGTCGAGTGAGGCACTTTTGGTTGGTGCCTTTGGGCTGAGTTGGTCAGGCTCAAAAAACTGGTTACTGATGGTTGCAACCTTTTCAGTAAAATATGAGGCAAACATGTCTGGTGTGAACAGATCAGAGGGTGGAGGAGGAGGTGGTTGAAGCAGTGAGTTAAAAGCAGAAAACATTTTTCTTGTATTTGTGGCATTGCATATCTTGTTCTGATAATATGTTGTTTTGGCCGTTTTCAGGCAGGAGGAGAATGAGACAAGTCTTTGCTTATAGTCATTGAGGTCAGCGGACTGTTTGGACTTTTGCCATTTTCTCTCTGCTGACCTCAGCCCTGCTCTTTGCTCTCTTCTGACTTCCGTGAGCCATGGGCTAGGGTGGGTTTTGCGAGCGGGTTTGGACACCAGAGGGCAGAGCTTGTTCAGAGATGAGGCTAGTGTGGAGCAGAGTATGTCTGTAGCCTCGTCTGTGGAGAGTGCAGTAAAGACCTTTTGGGCAGGCATGGCAGCCATTACCTCGTCAGACAGCTGAGCTGGCCTGAGCGATCGCATGTTTTGGTGGTATGACACCATTTATGGGTGTGCTTGAGGGAGTTCCAGCAAGGAGATTGTGAATTGAATAAAGAAGTGGTTTCATAGATGCAGAGGGGTGACAGTCAAGTTTGCTGTCGAGCAGTTCCGAGTCAGAATTAAATCAAGAGTGTTGCCAGCTTTGTGGGTAGGAGGAGTTGGGACCTGCGTGAGGTCAAATGAGGATAGGAGAGCAAGGAAGTCTGTTGCCTGGGCTTTATCAGTGTGTATATTCATGTCTCGCATTACAATCAGTGGTGTTCCATCATCAGGGATTTTCTGAGAGTAGCATGTCCAGTTCCACAACAAAATCATTCAGATTACACCCTGGTGGGCGGTAAATGATAGCAATGTACATTTTAATAGGAGCAGTAACCAAGATTGCGTGGTATTCAAATGAGGAGTTGTTGCTCAGTGGGAAGAGTTTATTGAATTTCCAGGTATTAGAAATGAGGATACCTGTACCACCTCCACGTCCAACAGAGCGGCGTGTGTGTGAGAACACTGTGTCAACAGAAAGAGCAGCTGGTGTGACTGTATTTTCTGGGTGGATCCAGGTTTGTGCCTGAATGTCTGACATTTTTGCAAGTGCTTGGATGAATTCAGTTTTATTCACAGCAGATTGACAGTTCCAGAGGCCAAAAGTAAATGAAGGGTGGGTAGAAGAGGCTTTCTTAAGCAGAGACAAGTTGTAAAGATTTTGTTGTTGTAAACTCTATGAAAGATGTGTCTTTTCCTGTTCCCATGAGTGACAGAGATTTCTTTGTAGCACATGTTACGTTTAGCAGATGACCAGAGAAAATAGGCAAAGCAGTAGTCGTGGATGCACGGGCTCTGTGGCCACGCTGAAGTGTCAGTTTTCAGATCAGAGCTTGTTCTGCTGGCAGTTTCGGATTCAGACTCTTTTAAGCTTGGATTTTCCTGTTGATGCTCAGAGAATGAAACTTAAGTGCTCAGTCCAAACAAAGCCTGACAACGACCCACTATCGATATCTACTCAAAGCAAGTACTCAAAGCAAGAAAAACTACTTCTTGTTGACTAAATAAGTGACTAAAACAAATTTATTCAAGCTTTTGAAACAGCATCACCAATACAGTATAACAAACACCTTCATGTCCCTCATTCAAGCGCTTTGAGTAGTCCGAAGACTAGAAAAGCGCTATATAAGATCAAGTCCATTTACCATTTACCATCAGTTATCTAACTGCTTATCCATTTGGGGTCACAGAGGCTGGAGCATATTCCAGCTGTCATTGGGTGAGAGGTGACCTTAATTTCATAGTTGTAAATGTTCTGTACACATTACATTCTGTCTACACATACAGTTTATACATTGGAGGGAAGAGGAGGCTGTTAGGGGCTGGATTACCTGAATGAGGACCTTTCCCAGGCAGACGGACGGTGTGCTGAGCTCAGCCAGAAACAAGAGGCCCTGAAAGTAATCACCTTTACCCTCCCTCCACAGCTGACACACACACACACACACACACACACACACACACACACACACACACACACACACACACACACACACACACACACACACACACACACACACACACACACACACACACACACACACACACACACACACACACACACACACACACACACACACACACACACACACATTAAAGTATTAGTCAACATGCTTTACTCATTTTCTGACTGTTAAAGAAACAATAATAGTGCTTAATGAGTAAAGGTCAATTAACACGTTAATGAATCGTCCTCCTTACCAGAGAGGCGGGGAAGCAGAAGGCCACCATGAAGATGTGATGAAGCACCATGAGCAGCTCTCGGCGCAGGTACCCCACCACAGCAGCTCTTGTGGACCGGATCCGACCCCCCTCCTCCTCCATGTGATCTTTGACCTGCAGCTTGTGCCAGTCGCACAAGAACATGGCGTAGATGTCGTAGGCAAAGTAAGGAGTCGCAAATAGAATGTAGGTGTCAGTCAACCAATGTCTGAGGAGGAAAGCGTTGGGGGGGGAAAGTGTTAGTCTCCACTAATCATATGAACTATTGGTATTTAACTATCTTATAGATGTTTTATTCTGGTGTGTTTTCCAACCCTGAAATGTAACACAACTGAGTGGCAACGTGTAGGTCTTCTTAGTTTTTATTTTTAAGTACAAAAAAAGTCTGATTTATGTCCAAAGTTATGATTTAAAGTAGTAACAAAATTTTAGGGTGGCATCAGTGGTGGCCAATCATATTCCAAGGGGGGGCCATGCCACCCCTGCCCCCCATCTGAACACACCCCTGCTGCCTGTATGAACAATAAGGTGACATGATGAGAGTCTCGGAGGAGAAATCCAGTGTTTTAAATCTTTGGCTCAAAGAGATTGCCTTGGTTGTTTTTTCTCATCTTTTCTATTTGAATGTGTATGTCGGTGTTGCATATTCCTTCATTACTTATTTCAAAAACATTTAGACGACAGTAAAAGAGTTGAGTTTTTATGCAGCTGCTCCCCCCAGAGATCTTTTCTGCATGGTCACTGTGTGTCTGTGGTGTGATTTGATAAACAAATGCGGGCCAACCCCCTTTCCACTTTGACAGGGAAATGAAGGAGCTGACAGAGGAAACCTGGGATTCACTGAAACAATCCCTCCTGTCTCACACTCTTCCTCTTAGTAATTTAGCTTCCTATTATCCTCAGTTTGGAGGATTAGGGTTCTCTGTGACCGTCTCAGAGACTGAAATAGCTCCTCTGCTGCTTGGCTCAGGAGATGCATTAGACTCGGATTTTTAAGTAGATTACAGACTGAGGACTGCTTCAGTCACATACATGAAGCCCCAGTGTATTAAAGAACTCTTGTTCTTAGGAAATACTGCCATCACGTTTTACTCTTTGAGCTGTATTATTTGGAAAATACATTTAAGGTTTATTTTGGGCTTTGTATGCCTTTATTACGAGTTAGGACAGTAGATAGAGCCAGAAAGAGAGAGAATGGGGAATGACATGCAGGAAAGGAGCCGCAAGTCAGATTTGAACCCAGGCCATCCGCCTCGAGGACTATGGCGCATGCACTTACCACTATGCTACCAGCCTGTCTAAGTTTCAATTTTAGGGGTATTAGTAAGAAAAAATAAATAAAACTGAATTGTATCACAGTATGCTAGCATTTATTTAGGCTGCTCAATTTGTATTAAAGCTAAATTCCACCATCAGCATGCCAACATACCTAAGCTAACATGCTCATTTTCTTCAGGTAGCAAGGAGTGTTCTCCAGGCGTACCGTTGTTGTACTTTCACATTTCAAATGCCTGTTGAGTTAGCTATTTCAACTAATCTAAGTACGGTGTGGAGACAAAATGTTGACAGAAGCATTTGTTTCTTGAAAAGTAAAGTTTGGGGATTTAAATTTCTGGGCTAAAAGAGCATTGTTTACATCTAAACACCAATGTAATGATGTTAGTGATACATAATGCCATGTTCACCATAGTTTCATAAATCATAGTTTACAGAGTTAGCATGCTAGTACTAGCTAATGTTAGCATTTCAAGAGATGAACATTTTTGTATACCCAAAAAAGTAAGAGGAGGATGAAAAGAGAAAGAAACCTTCACCTGTCCTGTATGATGTCTCTGCAGGAAGAGGCGATGATACATCCAGCTGAGGAGGCCATGATGGCTTGGACAGAAGACACCAGTCTGAGAGCAGGAAGAAAAAGAAATACTCAGTCAGTCTGTTTTATACTCAGGAGATATTTTTATAAGTCTTGTACTGTTTATTTGTTCTAAATCTGAACAGTGAAGAAAGCAAACATTTGAGGAGCACCACTGTTTTTGAAGACCTCTGATTGAACCTTCACTCAAACCTGACCAACATCACATTTGTTTGACCTCCTGAAGCTCCAATATCGTTCCTCTTCTTCAGACTTGATAAGTCAAAGACCAGGATCAGAATCAGAGACTTTGATCGTAACTGTTCAAACACTGTACATATTTTTAGGCTGACAATTAAGGAACAAATAGGAGGTCCTCACAAGGTACATGTGTATGTGTTTGGATGTGTGCATTCTTACCGTGTGGAGACGATGGCAGCATCCCCCTCGCTCCATCCCATCGTGTGTTTCAGACCCTTTTTGGAGAGCAGAAAGAGTCCTGGGAAGAAGACGGAGCCGGCAGCAATCAGGGCCGCCATGGCTCCTGAGTGTGTGTGTGCGAATATGTGTGTACTGATGTTTGTTTGTGTCCTACACACTCTGTAGATGTGCTGTGAATTTAAATGAGGACAGGTTTTCCAGGAGCTCAGAGAGGAGGATCAGCTGGGAGGAGCCTCCTGCTGCCACCTGTCAGAGGAGGTTATATACTCGACTGTTGTAAAGATACTAAAACCATGAAGAAGAAATACTCCGTGACAGAGAAATATCCTGAACTAAAAATGAAACTGTAATTGGAATTATTAAAAAAAAGAAGATATTTTCTATTTTTTTAAATTATAATTGCTGAAATTGTTGATGTATGTAAATTACTAGATGCATCTAAAATGTAAATTAAAAATGTGACTATATTTATAAAAGAGCTATAAGAGCACCATCAGGTTTTTCAGACGGATGGATGGGATTTTTATGGTCTAAGTTTTCTCTTTTGTTTGAATTTCCTTTATAAAATAACTGAATGACTGCAAATCAATAGGAAATGACTGATCTGCTCTTTTAATTATTTCAACAAACTAGTAGAGGTTTTTCAAGGAAACTGTCTAGGAAGCTATTTATGAAATGACAGAAATAAGAAATTCAATGTTTTGTTCTCTGGCATTTTCATACCACAGCTGAATGAAAGATAATCTTCTGTTTGGCGTGCTGAATCTTAAAATGTATTTGCTCAGATTCTTCCACATGAAAGATTGATGTTTTGATGTGTTCTCACTTTGAAGGTCACATACAGCCCTGCAAAATTCACTTCACAATGTTTTTCAAAAACTAATGTGTCCCTAGTTTGTCTTCATAGCCCTCAATTGTGAGAAAAGTCCATCCTCTACCTCTTTTGCCTGCTCCAGAAAATGTGTGCTCAAACAGGCCATTTGGAGAGTTTCCCTTCATGACATCACAAAGGGCAGTAACCCCTCCCCCAGGTGGGAGACACTCCTACAGCTAGGTGTGTGTTCTGCCTTCTTCCTGTAATCAATTCGGCATAGTGCCAGAAAGCCCGAGCCACCCACGTCCTTCCAGAGAGGGGTGTGGTCAAACACAGGTCATTTGCATTTAAAGGTACAGGCAATAGAGGGGTTCATAGACATGGTAAAATACTTGTTGAAAAGGAGGGTAATATGTGTCCTTTAAAATGTGTCTCCAGAGCCAGGACAGCTTGATACCAGCCGTATCTTAATGAGATGTGAAGCAGCTGAACTGACTTTCAGGAATCATTCTGGAGCTTCCTGATGCAGATCATTCACTGATCTGTAAATCTAGAAGTCTGTTCTCATGTGAAGAAGCGCTGATCTGCATGAATTCAAACTGAAGATGTTCTTCTACATAAAATGAAATATCGCTCACTGACCCTTTCCATTTTTTATGAGGTCATCAACGTGAACACAGAGAAAAAACTTCAAAACAGGCTAAAGGTATATTCCAGTGTCCATTTATTTATTTCATCATTCACTACTTTAACTCTAAACTTTTTTTTTTTTTTTTTAAGAAATTCAAGTATTTGTTGGGAACACAGGTCAAAAAAAACAAAACAAAAAACCTTTATGCTAAAACAAGGACAAAACATCAGTTTCATATTTAGAATAATAAAAACATCAAGTTTCTTTTCATAGAAGAAAAACAAGTCTAATCTCTACAGATGACCGCTTTGTCCAACCCGCTCTGCGTCAGTTCTAATCCAGCGTTGAAAACACCGAACAGACAAGCTGAACGTGAGACTCGCCAGGTGAACTCTGAACACACTAAACCGGTCATCTAGTTTAAAATCCGTTTCTCACCTGGAAGGATCTCTACAAACACAACAACAGAACAAAAAAAAAAAGAAAGCAAATAAAAAGTCCAAAAAAGGGAAAACGTTTCAAGTAATTGTTCCCTAAAGCTGACGATTGTTTCTCAAAATTACTCCACAAACTTTGTTTGAACCTTTCCTCTAATATTTGCAGATTAATTCCATGAAAGGTTGAAGGTAGAATTAATCATGACCATTTATTTTAAGTATACTTGTGTTAGTGAAGCTTTTGCAACGAGTTCAGTTTTCTGCTGTGACAGATGGATCAAAATGAGTGTGTTTATGGTGTAACGGCAGCATTGTTGACATCTTTAGTGATTGTAAAGGCATCCAAACAGGACAAATACCTAAAGATCATCAGGGTTTCTCACCAAAATGGAGCTGCAGGGTGTTAAAAGTAAAATGGTAAGTAGGGGAAAGTTTGTTTTATGTGAACTTATTCTGATCAAACGTAACAATTTGAGGACTAAATACACAAAAACATTAACACTAATGCTTTTCTTTAAGGTCGCCGTTTTGTAGTCATGTGATCACAACGAAACGGTGACACTTTAAACAAAAGAATCAGTGTGGTCTGAGAGGTTCGCTCACTGTTCTTGTATTTTTAGGGAACAATTAGTCAAGCTGTATTCCGACTCTTGGCTTCATTAAAATCTAATTAGAGCACAACAAAAACAAAACTTCTAATAAAAATCACTTCCTAAAGATGAATTAAATAAAAATTACCACAAAATGTACGCTTTTGTCGTCGCCGACAAACCGAACCATTGCACAGCATTCAAACCAAAATGCTCTCCGTGGGATAATAACTATACACATGCAGATATACAAGGTAGGTAAATCTGGCAGCCTCGACGGGAGGCTTGCTATGTGTTCCTGTAGAAGAGGAGCTGAGGTTTCAGGGGTTTAAAAAAAAAAAGAAAACCAACAACAACAAAAAATAATCAGGGAAACAGAGGATCAGGGCACCACCTGCTGGAGGTTCAGGGCATGTACAAGGAGAAAAAAAAACTTATTATACACAATCCAGGAAGTGAGCAGCCACAGAAACAAACAAGTGTTCTGTGAGATTTCAACACAAAGGAAGGCTTTAAAATCTAAGTGTGATCGGAGATGACAAAACAGGGGCCCAAACATCTCAGCTCCTCCAGACACCAAAGGATCATACTGACGGTTTAAACATGAAGCTTTGTCAAGAATCTGATTATTCCCGCGAGGCAGAAGAATCCATGAAATGAATAAGTGGCCTTCATTTAGTTTTCAGGGAAATGTAGTTAACACAAATATTTTTTCTTCATGGATCTTCATGATTCACATTGGTCACCTCTTCAGGAGAAAAAGCTGAAAGTGTGGAGTAAACTAAAAAAAAAAAATCACATCCTCACGCACGACAGATGAAGACGTCACCTCAGCTTCTGGGAGCATGTGACATTTCCAATCGTGGAAAAAAATTATTTCTTAGCAGCCGAGTTTGACAGATAATCAATCAGCAGTTTTCACCTGGTCTTAAACATGACTGCAGGAACAATCAACCCGGAGGATGTTCTGATGAGACGACAGAGATTCATGTTAGCCATCAGTGTGATTTTCTTTGATTTCAGGGAGGAAACTTCATTTCGTTGCCTTTGGTCTCGCTGCACATTTGACATAAAAAATGATGCACGACATGATCCGTCTGCGTGTCCTCACTCTTCAGATATAAATCCCATTATTCATCATCAGCCCTGATCATGCAAACACACGATCGACACTGGTGCATCCCCTCATGAGGCTTTGTACCTTTTTCTTTGTTTTGTTTACAAACAGGTCACCGGAGCCTCAAACTACAAAACGATATTAATAACAACTACAAATCAAAAGAGAAAAAAAAAAAAAAAGCAGCAGCATTTCAGCGACAATATCTCTCTCCTCTCAAAACCTCACACTGATTCTGAGCGGCGGGGCGAGAGACGAGGAGCGAGCGCAGAAGTAAAAAAACGAGCAGTTGGAGGAATGACATTTAAGTTGTGACAGGAGGGTTTTCACTTTACACATATTCACACGTTACTTCTTCTTCTTCTTTTCTGTTTCCTCTTTCCAGGGTTTGAGGTAACCAAGACCGCAGAGACGGAT